TTGGCCAATGGACAGGCAGGGTTTAGCCAGGCAGGAAATCCAAACAGGGATAGAGAAAGGTAGAAGCATAAAATGAACACTAAGTAAAGAAAATGGTGCTGGTAAAACTGCATGACTCCATACAGAAGAACGAAACTATATCCATATTTCTCACTCTGCATAAAACTCAGCTCCAAACGGACCAAGGGTCTGAACATGATACCTAATATCATGAATATGTTAAAGGAGAATATAGGGAATACACTTCAACTTTCTGAATAGAACTCCAATAGTGAGTAAGACAAATGGAGCCTCATAGAACAAAATGTATTAGGTACAGCAAAGGACACCATCATCTAAGTGAAGATTAAGAAAAATAGAATATACAACAAAAATAACAAAAACCTCAAACACACACACACACACACGTATATATCAATTCAGTTATAAATGTGCTATGTAACTAAACAGAGTTTTCAGAAGAAGAAAAACATATGGCAGAGAAATACTTTTCAAATGTTCAATTTCCTTAGTTTCTACAGAAATGCACATTAAGCTATTTTGAGCTTTCATCTTACCCCAATTAAAATGGGTATGAAAAAAATTACAACACACCCTGGCATGGGTCTGGGGAATGTTGAACAGATATTCACTGCTAGTGGAAATACAATCTGGTACTGCCACTATGGAAATCAATATGGAGGTTGCTCAAAAGGCTTAAAATAGATCTATCATAGGATCCAGCTGTACCGCTCTTCCCTATATACCCAAAGGACTGTATCTTACCACGGAGATTCCTGGTCACCTATATTCATTGCTGCTTGCTCACAATAACGAGGGAATGGAAATAGCCTAGATGTCCTCCAGATTGTAAGTTGATAATGAAAATATGGTACGTATACACAATAGGAAAATTCAGTCCTGAAATTTTCAGGTAACTAAGTAACACAAACCCCAACAGACAAACTACACAAGTTCTCTCATATATAAATAGACTTTAGCTTCAGCTCTTGATATGAATATGTTTAATTTGGAGTATCAATAGAAGCCAGGAAACTCGGAAGGGACCATGGGGCCAGAATTTCAAATGGTGGCTGACACAAAACAGGAGGTATGAAGGGCAATAATGGTCTAGAAAGGATTAGGTGTGGTAGAAGGTGGTAGGTCAGATTTGCAGAGGGAGTATGGGAAGGAATAACTAACACTAAAGAGGTTTGAAATGGCATGTAGACTCCTACTGCTGTAGAAGCTTCCCAAGATACATACAGTTATTTAAAGTGTAAATGAATTTGCCTTATGGAGTGGTGACATCACCTCCCTAGACACCATAGCATATCAAACTAATAGCCCAGGGAAGGTATGGGTTATCTCTTTTTGTATTGTTATTCGGTGGGAGCCAATAGACCACCTAAACATCACTTGATATTATCTTTTCTCTTGGCTAACCTCTAAAACTTGATGTAAGACCTATTTCTGAAAATGGCGCATACTTGAGTCATAGGACATGGAGAGGTCAGGCTGATAAAGTCTGGGAAGTCTCACCCTTCTGGCTGACTTTTGCAGTGCTTGAAGGTGCTGTGTGTATTACTGTTGGAGAAAAGTACTTGGCTGCCTTACCCAGATGCGAACTCTACAAGCTGTAGTAAATATTGATCTGCCCACTGGAGAAACAGTGTCAAGGGTAACTAACTACATTTCTGATTAGATGTATGAGTTTTTTCACCCCATAAGAATTCGTGCCTGGCATTGTTAACTGGGCCAAGAACCCATGGCCAGTTAGGTCATAGGTCCTACGGGGAGAATCCTACTAAATGGGCATAGCACTGAACTGCCCCATAAGTAGTAATCGTTATACACATAGATTAGCCCATCTTTCACTTCTCTTCAGAGTAGATTCTGCAGAATAGAGCGGTTAATACAGACACCCACAATTGGTCAGGGTGGACACATTAAGATACCCTGGCATACTTGGCCCTTATCTCCCTCTTGCCTCCTCCTCCTCCCAAGACTCGAGAATCATCACGAAAGAAGAGTGGAAACGTTCATTCTTTGTTAAGTCACAGCTACTGGGATGAGTGCTGTGACATGAGCGTGCCATTGCAAACATGAACGCATGCGGACTGTGGCTGCTAGTGGATCTGTGAAACCCATGCCAGCCAAAGTCCCACCAGGTCGGGGAAGGTCCAGAGACCCACAACTAGCTGAGTAGTCACTGGCAACCGGGGGAAGGAGAGTCACTTTTTAGATATGGATTCTGAGAGGCTATCTATGCTCCAGTATATCGTCTGCCTCCCGTGTGCACATTGACAGGACTAAGTGGGCTCTCTCTCTCTCTCTCTCTCTCTCTCACACACACACACACACACACAGAGAGAGAGAGAGAGAGAGAGAGAGAGAGAGAGAGAGCATGAGTTTGAGAGGGAAATGTGAAAGTGCAATGGAAGGCATAAGAAAGGAATTGAACAAAAACGCATTACATGCATGCATGAAATTATCAAACAATAGAACTTTGCCTAAAGAAACAGGCAATGTGAAAAACTAATACAAGTCCAGAATATAAAACTTAGAGAGCGTGAGATTTGGAATACTACTCTGGCAAGAGTGACAAGGGCTTCGCGAGTTTTCACAAAGAGGTTCTTGTATTTGCTACACACACTTTTTTCTTTCTTTTTTCCTGTACAGCTGGTAGACAGCTGTGCCAAGAGAGAATAAGAGTTGGGGTTGAGATGCGGCTTTACGAAGATTCGGTATTTTTCAGTACGTCAGTCACCAGACAATTCTGGCTTTTTACTGCCGAGCTTCTAGAAGCAAAGCTTGTGCCTTTGCCTGTGAGCCCCAAGAATGGCTGCTTGCAAGCCCTCATGGAGGAATGGATTGGCCTGGGTTCGGGGAGGCTGTCCCTGGAGCTCATCTCTGTAGCTCACCTCCAGCTCCTGAGGCACTGCTGACTTAACTCCTGCAACGGGACACTGATTTTTCTAACCTGCAGTTGGGAGTTGGGACACCAAACCTTGCTCTGAAGGTGTGACGTCTCATCCACCTGGGACGTCTGCGAAAGATTTTGGCTTGGGCTCTGGGACAGACATGCTGGCTTAACTGCAGGGCTGATACACAAGTTTCAGTGGAACTTCCCCTGTATCTCTGGGATCCCTTCTGGTACCATCAGCAGCTTGTGCCCCTCCCAGTGTTTGCTGCTGTTGATTCCTCGTCTCCTCAAACTCTAGACCTTGCAGTACCTGGGAATGATGTGGATAATCTTACAGCCTGTGTCTTGGGCATACCACAGCCATTCCTGCCAACTCTGGACTTGTGCACCCTTTTCTTCTCAGCACCCTAAGCAAATCTTCTCTTCCCCATCCTCTGCCCCAACATCGGAGGCTCTGGTCCTCTTTCACTAGAACTCAGGACCCCCGAACCCCTATTTTCTGCTCATTAGAAACAACCGCATTTGTCCACCACATCACAGGGACTTAGTCAGCTATTTATTTATTTATTCATCTATTAGTCAGCTTTTTAGAAATGCACTATACATTTTTCTTCTTCCTCCCACTGCTGAACAAGATGATTGTAATGTTGGGTGTCCTTCTCTGTCCCTTCCCTACCGTTTTCTACTGTTTCACTCAGGCTGACAGATCGTGATATTTCCTACATTTGAGTAGGTCACATATTTGCTTTAAATCTGTCCCCAGGGTCTACCTGTCTTAGATTAAAAAGTTCAATGCCTCAGAGTGTCCCCAAGGCTCTACTGTCTTACCCCGTCCCTCTTCATTACATCTGTATCTTGTTCTAGGCATCTGTGGATTGCTCCTGCCTCGGGATCTTGGTGCCTGCAGCCTCCTTTATCCCGTGGGACACAGAGCCACTCCTGAACATCCCTTAGCTACCCCAAATGCCTCTTCTTTCTTCTCGGCTGACCTGCCTTCATGGCACTTCCTGCTTCTTCTGCTGCATGCTCTTCCTATCATAGCTCTTTCTTCCCCCCTGGGCATGAATTTCTTGGGGGAGGTACTTGTGTTTGCTTTGCATCCAGTCTGTCCTAATTTTCTATTGCTGCTGATGTGACAAACTATCCCCAACACTATTGTGTTGTGTTGCCCCAGAGTTCTATAAGCAGAAGCCCATGGGAACCGGTAGATTTTTCTGTCCCCTCTGTCTCACAAGGTCAGAATCATGGTGCTAGCAGGGCTGCATTTTCCTCTGGATATTCTGAGTAGGCCTGCAGGTTTTTGAGGTGGGGCAGAATTCAGTGCCATATGGCTGTGGGTAAAGGTCTTTGTCTTCTTGCCAACTGCCCCCTAGGTCTCATTTCCTCCTTCTTGGTGTTCTGGTCACTTCTACCAGCTTCAGAGCCAATGGCCATCTGAGTCCTTTCTTCATTTGCAAATCTACTCCTGGCTCCTCTTTGAGAAAGCTGTTTTTGAAGGGACTGACCCTCGACCACAGTGATAATCTGAGATAATCTCTGGATTTCCATCCCATTGCTTTCATTTCATCTGCATAGTATCTTTTGCCATGTAAGTAACAAGCTGGCAGGCATGACCATTGGGCAGAGCTGCTGTCTGCCCTAGCAGCCACCCACCCTGGATCAGTGGCCAGTACACAGGGGAGGATTGGAGTAGGGATAAGATTGGTGTGCTACAGTGACGTGTCATGCTGCCATCTAAATCTCAGGTGTTGGTCCTGTCCTCACCCTGTCCCACAGATGAAGGAACTACAGCGCTTAGAATAGGTGGCCGGTCAAGGTCACAGATCTCTAGGGATGTCAGGCATCTATCTCAGAGCTGACTCTATTCTTTGGTAGGTGGAAAAAGAGAAAATGCATGAGAATTGGCTTACCCTGTGGCATATTTGGAGCATCCTTTCGTTTGAAACAGCAAGGGTCTGACCCACATGGTACCACCCTACACGCTGTCTAACCCTGGAGGTTGATTCTCAGCACCACCCAGCTTTCATCAGCATCTTTGTGTCCCCCCCCCCAGTGGAAACCACTCTGTACCACCTCCTTTTCCCTTTCCCTACAGATGCTTACCCCAATTCTGAAGTTGTCTATGTTTGGACCAATGGCTCCACCAAGTCTGTGGTTGTAGCAGAAGACGGCTCCAGACTCAACCAGTACCACCTCATGGGGCAGACCGTAGGCACCGAGAATATTAGCACCAGCACTGGTAAGAAAGAGATGCTTGACTCCCTGCCTGGGCCTAAGGGGATCCCTACTTTGCGTGACTCAGAGTCATACTCCGCAGGAGTACAGACCCCATGTAACTACCCAGGCTCCGGTAGGTCCTCTTGCAGCTGCAGTGACCTGGGAATGAAGAGGCCATTGATCTGCGGTGCATGTGGCATCTGCTGCACATGTGGGTTCCTGTCTGGAGGCTCAGAGATCTGCTTATATAATATCCCTCCCCATTCCTGAGAAACACGGTGGTTTCCACACCAACCCTGCTCACTGTTCCCCTATTTCTTTCTCTGAACAGCTCAGAGGTTCCCTGGTTGAATCTGGAAACCCACACTAGCAATAGACAAGGAGGCAGATACAGTCAACCACACACATGCCAAACTTGTCTGTGTGGGGCAGTCCAGCTTGGCCAAAGGAATACCATACACCTGACCTGCACAACCTTGAAGCTCTGTGGCCACACCTCTCCTGGCTGAGGGCAGGCATCATCACAGAAGCTATCACCGGGAGGTGGTATTGGCAAACAGGATGGGGCCTGTTGCCTCATGTAACCAAAGAGATGACCCTTAAGGGGATAGATAAAAGCTGTGAATGTGAAATGTGGTCTGAGCTTCAGGGAAGCCTTTGGTTAGCTCACTGATTGTTCACTGTCAAGCAGCTGGCAGGACATACACAGGACACCAAGGGCAAGCTCTTCTTTACATCACGTGCACCTGCCAGGGCAGGGTCCCACCTACCCAGTTCACAGGGCATCCCTGAGTGATGAGAGGGGAGTACCATGCTACAGGAAAGTGAAGTCCAACTTCACATCTGGTTTTATGCAAGTGAAAGGAAAGATATGTGGCAGACTTTGGGGGTCCTGACACAGGGTGCTCTCTTTGGGAGCAGCTCCATACAGTTCCCTAAAATTTCATAACAGAGGGTCTGTTCCAACCAGCATTCTACAAAGACATCATTTTCAATACATTGCCTAATTTTGTTGCTAATGACTCCAAGGTAAACAGTATGAAAACAAAGGACAAGAAGAATTAAAAGGATAGTAATTTCATTTCCTAATGTACTTTGAATGGCATCTCATTCGTGATCATTTCAAAGGAACTAAACCTTGTTATTAGACATTTAGCCATCTCTATTCCTGTTTCTTTCTTCCATTTGGAAGTCTGCTTGACCTCTCACCAGCTCTCAGTTGCCCAGGCTATTGGAAAAGCACCCACCCCCAATATGGGTAGGCATTGCTTAGACCTTTGGCTCCTGTCCTATAAGAAGCCTTTTTTTTTTTAAACCTCTCTGATGCATGACATCATAAACACTTCTTGGGGGCATCTGTAGCAACTTCACCGAGCCATGGATTTTGGTTTAAGAAGGCTCCACCATGACAATGCCCTGTCTACATAGCCTGAAGACCTCTACCCCCTCATAGACAAGCTCACAACTGGAGTCTGCACTGGGAACTTCCCCAAGATGATGCTTCCATGATCATAGTAATTCAGCAGCTCAGCCCCCAAGCTTACTCACTGAGGACATCTCCAGACCATCTCATGGCCTGCATGTCTCAAAGCATCCCTCCAGTCTCTAGGGAGAGACACACTTGTCCAGAAAACCTTACTTCCCATAGACCCATGGCCCACCCACCTCAGCTCCTTACCAGTTAACCATTAGGACGGCATCATTCTCAGCAAAAAATGGAAGATCCCCACTCGCCTCCCACACAGCCAGGCAAATCCAGAGAAGGCAATGGGACATTGCCCAGGAAGTCCAGTTTAGAACAGAGGACCCTGGCCTCTCTGGTGGGTGGCTGAGAGAATGAGCTTCCCAGGTCTGTGGCCTGTGGGGCTGTTCCTTCCTCTCCACCTGGGCTGGAAAAGCATCAGGCCTTGGCAAAAAATAGCAGTCCTGCCTCCCTGGAGCTCCACAACTGGAAAATAGGAAGGATCTGTCCATCCACAGCGGGGCTCTGGATGCCTGATTTCTATCTGCAAATGCTAAACCCTCAAAATCCTGATTGCTATAACCTGCAGAGTGGTGGTGGGGGGGAAGGAGCAGGCAGCATGACACAGATTGACGGGGGATTAATGAAACTCGCAAATCTGATTTTCTCTGAAAAAGCATGCACCAGCAAGGGCCCCTCAGAGGCTGGGGTTCACAAGATTTGTTTATGCAATGACCTTTAAGAAAGCCAGGCAGCAAGTCCCACAAAAACCCCAAGCTAAACAATCACAGCTTGTATGCAGAGGACCTAGGGCAGACCCATGCAGGCTCCATGATTGCCAGTTTAGTCTCTGTGAGCCCTTGTGAGCCCTGCTTTAGTTGAGGCATCCAGCCTTGAGATGGGGGTTTGTGGCTAGTCATATTGCATCTTGTTATGCCACGTTCCGCTGACAGCCCAGGGAGACCTGCTCTTTTCCGAAGGAAGATGCAGTGGATCTAGGGGAGAGGGGAGGTGTGTGTCCAGGGAGAGTGGGATGAAGTGAAGGGAAGGGAGGAGGTGGTTAGGATGCATTGTATGAGTGAAGAATGAATGAATGAATAAATAAATAAATAAATAAATACATAAATACAAGCCAGGCAGATCGCTTGGTGCCCAGTCCTAACAAAAATACATCTTTAAAGCAATACCCACACTAAGGGAAATTCACGCAAGGGGAGAGGAAGCAGAAAAATTGCAAGGTTCCGAAGTCCAGGACAGCTACTCTGATACAAAAGTGTATTCTATGTAAGACAGGGAAGTTACACCCATGAGCTTTACACAATATTGATAGCTTAAATAAGAGCAACTTATGATAGCACCAACTGACATAGCAATATGGGGAAATTCCTACCCCAGGAGGTCAGTGGGTGCTGAAGAGAGAAAGTTAGCTTCCTCCAGGATTCAGGTCCTATAGGTCCTGTATAGGTTGTTCAATCCCATTGTGGTTAGTCCTGGACAAACACACACACACTCACTCACACACACACAGGAACAATGCTAAACAGTAAGTTGTATATATGTATTTGCATATGCATACATGTTCATACTGTAACAATAATAACTAAAGAAGATATCATGCATTTAGGATGAGGACATGAGAGGAGAGGGTTAGAAATGACGTATTGCTCTTCTATGAAGCTCTCAAAAACTTATCAAGCAAATATCAAAAAATGAAATTAATTAAACCCCAGGCACCCCCTGCTACCAGCTACCTAAACAAATAACCCAAATAAGCAATAGCTTGATTGAAGTCAGAGAGCACTGTGAACTTCTCTGGGAAGGGCCTGGGTGCGGGGAGTGTGGTAGGGAGAACTGATCTCCAGGTGTATCTACAGGTGAGTACACAATCATGACTGCCCATTTCCACCTGAAGAGGAAGATCGGGTACTTCGTCATCCAGACCTACCTTCCCTGCATCATGACAGTCATCTTATCCCAGGTGTCCTTTTGGCTAAACCGAGAATCTGTCCCAGCTAGGACTGTCTTCGGTGAGTACCTCCAGACCAAGCCTTGACATTGGTCTAAACAACAGCAGCTGATGCCACAGCTACATTTGAACTGTGTACTAAAGGCACGGTCCTTACTAGGTAGCACCATAGAAGAGGATTCGGGAGATGGGAGTGAGCTCATCAGGGCAGGCAGGTTTATTCAGGAAAACCTGGCAAAGGCCCATGCCATACAAATAGTGAGAGCACCTCTCTTACAGACTAGGAGATTTTTTTTATTGGGTTAGGAGGAGGAAAGGGAGAACAGAGGCTATGTGGGATGTCAGATAGCTAAGCTCTTCTTTCAAAAGAGCATCATTTTAGATGTGTCTCAAGATCTCAGGGTATGTTACACAGCACGTTTTGTAGGACACTCTGTGCTTCTACTAGGAGCCAGGTGTTCAGGTTTAAGATGTTGGTGCAATTGTTTTATCATTCCCCATCTTAGCAGTATTTGGAGGAGCTGGAGCTTTTACACAATGGAGCCTGGTGTAAGTCAGACCATGAGGGTTGTGGCCCTGAAGAGGACTGTGGGAATCTAGTCTTTTTGCTCCTCGGCCACCACAGAATGATACACTTTGTTCCTTACCACGCTCCGGCCATGGCAACCAATCAAAGGAACCAACTGACCATGACCTAAACCCCTCCCAAATGTAAACCCAGTGTTTCCTCTTTTAAGTTAATTATATCAGGTATTTTGTGACAGTAATGGGAAGGCAACTAAATAGCTACCATATTTCTATTACTATCTATCCACTGAGACCTGGGGGGGGGGGGATATGACCAATTAGTTAACATTTTAAGATCAAGAAATAGAATTTTTCTTTGAATGTGAGTTTAGGGAATGATATTTCTTCTGCTTGATAATTATTTCCATTTTAGAAAAACTTCTTCATTAGAAGACCTTTTGAAGATGTGAAATTATAAGCATCCCTCCCCGCATCGCTTCCCTTTTATTGTTCCTTCCTCCCTTCTACAGGAGAACAAATCCAGATCCTTAGGAATGGTGGGCAAGTAGTTCTCCACCAAACTGTACTCCTAGGCTGGGCATAGTGGTATTTTTCAATCAGGTATTTATTTGTGAATTTTTATGTGGTTCCCTTTGAAAATACAGTCATGCACTGTACACTAAGATGTACTCCATGTGGTGGTATGGAAACAGGCTCCCAGCTGTCTGTGACTGCAGGCACTCAGTCCTCAGACTCAGCCAACCACAGGTGGAAAATATCTGAAATGCCAGCACATCTGTACTAAGCAAGTGCAAACTGTTTGTCTCCCTAGTATTTCCTAAAAATGCAGGACAGTGATTCTTTACGTGATGATAATATTATATGAGGTATTGTAAGGCATCTAGATATGGGCCATTATAGGTAAGAGACTTCCCCGAAGGTTCTATGTAGAGGCTCTGACATTTTATTGAGACTCCAGTGTTTATGAGCTTGGGAAGCTGAGGTGGTCCCAGAACCTGTCATCGACAAATGAATGACATTTCCTGGGAGGCATGAGAAATACCTGTTCATCCCAAGTGAGACACCAATAACACACCAAAGAAATGATCCCACCCAAACCTATCTTAGTGAGCCAGTGAGTTTATCATATTAGGGTAACTTATAGGCTCATAGGTGGGAGTTTCCTGACAGAAGCAAGTTCATGGCACACGAGAGCTGCATCCCTGTTAACATGCAGGCAGTTCCACCAAGAGCCTACCCTCCCCTGACAATTGTTCTCTGGGCGTATAACCTGGGTAAAGGGCTTTGTGACTCTTACAACCTTTAAGCTTCCTGAGACTCATAAGTTTCTGAGGCAAATTCCCGAGTCTCATGGGCCTCCCAGGAATGAATGTTTCACTTGAGAGGAAGTAGCTAATGTGAGAATTATGAGGTTGAAGAACACCCTAGGAAGCCATCATTGTGCGTACCTAAGACATTAGATACAGCAGGATCTAGCTTAGGAAGATTCTTTGCCATAATGGATGGATGGTTTGACTGTCCCTCACGTTGAAGATCACTGCACTAGTCAGCTTTCGGTTATTGTAATGTAGCACCTGTGTTTACCAGTCTTGAAAGAAGAAAGAATTCTTTTGGCTCACAGTTTAAAAGATTTTAGTCCGTGGTCATTTGTTTATGTTGACTTTGGACCAATGGCAGACATCTTCGTCTCATGTGCGTGTTTGTGTGTGTGCATGTGTGTGAGAGAGACAGAGATAAAGAGAGACAGAGATGGATGGATGGAGGGACAGAGACAGTGAGAGGCAGGGGCAGTGAGAATCAAAGATACAGACATTGTCTTAGTTATAGTTTATATTGCTATGAAGAGACACCATGACCATGGCAATGCGTCTATAGGGAAACATTTAATTGAGTGGCAGCTGAGGTTTCTCCATCTTTCAGGCAACAGGAAGTGGTCTGAGGCACTGGGTAATGGCTTGGCATATATGAAACCTCAAAACCCATCACCGCAGTGGCATGTCTCCTCCTACCAGGCCATACCCACACCTCCTACTAGTGCCATTGCCTATGAACTTATGAGGTTCCATTGCATCCAAACTACCACAGACACAGAGAAGCTGAAAGACAAACGGAAGCTGCACCCCAATGCCCCCTTTTAGGGTATGACCCTTCGCATGACTGGAAGACCATATGTTACTATCCACCACCAGGGGCTGGGATCTAACCTTTAACACTAGAGATCTTTGGTCTGAGACTTGTCTAACCCACGGCACTCGCTCTCCTCCCACTTAGAAAGGTACACTACAGGCAATTTTACAGATTAGTTGTGACAACGGGGTATTATATCTTTGTGTATTGTGAGGTACGGTTCGCACATCAGCTCCTGCATCTACAGTTTTCCTTCCACAGTAAGAAGGTGTTTACATGCACCTTATCATGATGCTATATAAGAGGACCAAGAGCCCTGGGTCTTCCTGCTCATCACTCTACACCCAATATCAACATCTTTACCAGGACTTAACCGAGAATATGTAATCAAGGTGTGGAGATTTGGCTCATGGCCAGGCGGCGGCACTTATTCACCAAGTTGGTAGGCTTAATAAACTCTTAGTGGACGTTTATTACTTAGGTTGGAGAAAGTGTGAACAAAACTGCCTGTGTTAAAGAGAGAGGCCTTGTGTTCTATCATGTTCTGGGAGGGAGTTCTGAGGGAGAAAGAAAGGAAGGAAAGAAGGAAGGAAGGAAGGAAGGAAGGAAGGAAGAAAGAAAGAAAGAAAGAAAGAAAGAAAGAAAGGAAGAAAACACTGGTCTCCATTCCCATGTTGTCTTCTGTACTCTCCCCTTCCCCACTGAGCAGGAGTGACCACAGTGCTGACCATGACAACACTCAGCATCAGTGCCCGGAACTCTCTGCCCAAAGTGGCCTACGCCACAGCCATGGACTGGTTCATTGCCGTCTGCTATGCGTTTGTCTTCTCTGCTCTAATTGAATTTGCCACTGTCAACTACTTCACAAAGAGAGGATGGGCCTGGGATGGCAAGAAGGCCCTAGAAGCTGCTAAAATTAAGGTAAGGGGTGGCTTATTACCCTCCTTATTTATTATTTACTTATTTATTTTACATGTTCAATTGACAAAGGAAGTGGGTCTAATTTTGGGTCCAAATATTCAGCAAGGGATTTCCTTTCCCATCTCTCCCCCCAGGATGATTCTTCCCTTTAGCTGCAAGCCTTTTACATGTTCTTACTGATGGTCTGATTTATATTAAATCAATGCCATTCGAGTATAAGGTCTGGTGTTCAGTGGATGGCTTAGACTTGCTAATATTCAGCTGCTTATTTTTGTAAAAATAATCCTGGCCCTCTGGGCATGTTGTGTCAGGGTTTTAGCCCCGCCCAGTTCACACTGAAGCATGTGTTCTATCACTGGGTCATGTGCTATGTCTTCCTTGAGGTAGCTATCATGGCTTGGAGAGGATGGACAGCTTAATAGAAGTTGCCCATCAGCCGAAAGACCCAGTTCTCCAAGGAAATGGTTTGGCCCACTCAGGCTATGAGCATGATAGTGATATGAAGCATCACACACACACACACACAAATGATTTTTCATTGCATACTTCACACATAATTGTGCCCAAATCTAAAGAACAATTGAGAGGAAAGAGTAGCATAAAGCCCCAAGCCAAATTGCCTCCCTGGGGGGATGCGAAAATGTATGTGCACAGAAAATTAAGCTATCAGTGATAACCTGCTAATCATGCTATGCACAGAACAGATGTCGAAGCAAGTTCTTTGTACAGAGAAGGGGAGGGAGGTCAGTGCTTTCACGGGAAGTCTGAAAGGAAAGTTGGGAGATAAGCCTGAGAGGAGTTCAGACAGGGTTATGCATGAATAGAGTTAGATGTCCTGAACCACACCACCTGGCAAACCTGGGTGTTTTCATCCCAGGGAGCTCACCTGGTTCTACACCACCTCCAGCTCTTGCTTTTCTGGGTTTGGATACTACATTTATTTCCCTGAGAAAAATCCACAGGCTCTGGCTTTACCATGAATCAACCTCTTTTCCAAGTACAGTATTCCATTCCCCACGCCGCGTGCTCTTCACAGAGTCATATCTCAAAATCTCGTTGGCTGTGTAGGAGGACAGGGTTGCAGGAACCTGGTGAGACAGGAGAGAGAAGGCTGACTTGCTTGGAGATGTATCAGAGCCTAACTGCCAAGTGCTCTCTACCCCCAAGGGGAAGTTCATGCTCACACTGAGTTTCTTCATCCAAACTCACGGGATGTCTGACTGTCCAGTGCCTCATACCTATTATTGCCTATTTGGGTTTATTTTGGGAGTCTGTGAAGACAAAATTGATTTGGCTGTTGTGATTGACCTGTGCAGAGCTGGGGAAACGTTTGTAGGGACAGGGTGTCCTCAGGCTTTTAGACTTATAAAGGGTAGACTAGGCAGCCAAGAAGGCTCTTTGTTGGGAAGAAACACGAATAATGTGGAAAGATAAGAGTTAACCAACCTACTTCATATTATTGGAAGGCAAATGCTTGCCAGCCTTCTGAATGATTAAGGGCTTACATGATGACAGACTGGGGTTGGTCATGTCTGAGTGGAAAGACTCTTGAGATGCCATTTCATAACCAAAGTGTAAGGCCTTGCTGTCTCCAGGTGGACTACGAGGTCCTGGCAATACCTAATCTGCTGTTGGATCCAGGGCTGACACAACCAGGTCGGCCTTCATTAACTGCTCTTTTCTAGGTCTGCGTGAGGACCTGGGATAGGAAAAATGAAGGAAAGATGGGCTGGCTAATCCTAAACACTTATGTGTTTGCCAGCCCTGTGGAACTTCAAGACGATGAGCTGTTCCCTAGTGCTGAGCCCTCCTTCAGTGCTGGAAAGGCTCTTTGTGTGGATGTATTATGCTATCAGGCAGGTCCGGCACACTGTAAGACCCGGGGACTGAGTGAGAATGAGCACCCTAGTGGCATTGCTTTGGGGTGATTATCACTAGTAGAGAAAACTGTGAAAACTCAGAAACCAGGCTATGTTCTCGGCTGTTTCCCATTCCTGGGAAAGGAGACAGGAGTGAGATGAGGCAGAAGATGAAGATGCTCTGTGTGCAGACTTGGCAGAGCCTCAGATAACCCACGGTGAAGCTCTGAAGCAAGTCAGAGGACATGGTAGGGAAGTGATGTTTCTGCCTCACTGGATGGCATATGAACGCTGAGTGACATTCGTCCTGGGGAGACCTCAATGAGCACCACTTACTCCAGATAGGGGACCACCCACAGACCAAAGTGCATATCATTCCAAAGTCCAACATAATGAACCAATGATTTATATTGGGGTTACAGGAATGTGAGTGAGGGGTTGCTTACAGGAGCATAGCAGACTTGGAGGCAGCTGAATCAGCAAAGCCCGTAGGTGACAGCTTACAAAAGCTGGGAAGCCAGAGTACAGTGCTCAGTCTGCAGGCAGGGTCCATTCCAGTTAGTTCAGTTGGCTGGAGCCTCTTCCAAGCAGCCTGGCTTCTGTCTGCTTCTTCTAGGTAGTTCCTGTGCTTGAAGGCTTTACTAGGCAACTGACCTTATCTGAGAGTGACGCTTGGCAATCTTTATTTATTTATTATTTATTTGTTTTTACATCATGACCAAAGTTTCCTCTCCCTCCCCTCTTCCCAGCACCCCACTCCCATCCAACCACTCCCCCTTCACGGTTCTGATACAAATGGGTATCCCATAGATACCAGCCAGCCATGGTCTATCCAGCTGCAGTGAGACTAGGCTGGATGAGGCAATATGGAAGGAGGAGGACTGGGTCCCCAAAACACACAACAGAGTCAAAGACAGCCCGCACCCTCTGTCACTGTTAGGAGTCTCACAAGAAGACCAAGCTACACACACGACTGTGACATATGTGCAGAGGGTTAGGTCAGTCCCCTGCAGGCTCCCCGGTTGTCAGTTCAGTCTCTGTGCGCCCCTATGAGCTTCAGGTTAGTTGTCTGAGGATTGTCTTGTGGTATCCTTGACACCACTGGGTCCTACAATCCCTCCCTCCCCTCCTCTTCCACAGGATTCCTGGAGCTCCAGCTAATGTTTGGCTGTGGGGCTCTGCATCTGTTTCCCTCAGCTGCTGTGCAAAGCCTCTCTGATCACAGTCAATCTAGGCATCAATCTAGTAGTATAGTAGAATATCATTAGGAATCATTTCATTGACTGTTTTTATTTTTTTTTTTCATTCTGTTTAGTTCTATCCTAAGTCTCTGGGGTATTCCAGCTCTGGGTCCTGGCCCTCAGAGGGGGAGCTTCCCCTCAGGGTATGGGTCTCCAATTGCTCCATGAGTTGGTTACTCATACAATTTCTGGGCCATCTTAAGCCAGCACATCTTGTAGGCAGGACAAATTGTAGTTCCAAGGGTTTGCGGCTCACTGGAAGTTTTGCCTGTTTATAGGAGATGGCCAGTTCAGGCTACATATCCCCTATTGCTAGGAGTCTTAGTAGAGTCTCCCTCATGAATTACTGGGAGTTTTCATTGCTCTAGGTTTCTAGCTCATCCCAAAGATGCCTTCAGATTACAGTAGTCTCTCCCAGTACTCTCTCCCTGCATCCTCACCAACACCTGTCCTCTCCTATCCTCATCCCCATTTCCCCTTCCAGGCACATCTTCCCTCTTACTGGCGATGTCCATTTCATTACCCTGGCACAGTGAAATTCATACATCACTCTTCCACTTAAGCCCTCTTTGTTACTTAGCTTCTCTAGGTCTATGGGTTCTTCTTTACTTTATGACTATACTTACAAGTGACTGCATAATATGCTTGTCTTTATGGGTCTGGGTTACCTCACTCAGGATGATCTTTTCTAGTTCCAACCACTTGCCAGCAAATATCCTGATGTCGTTTTTTAACAGCTGGCAAATACTTCATTGTGTTAACGTAGCATTGTCTTTATCTGTTCTTTGGCTGAAGGGCACCTAGGTTGTTTCCAGTTTTGGCTGTTATGAATAAAGCTGATATGAACACGGTTTAGTTGTGCAAGTATCCTTGAGTGTGGTAGAGTATCCTTTGGTTGTATGCCTAGGATTGGTATAACTGGGACATGAGATAGATAGAGTGATTCTTGAATTCTCTATTTTCTATGAAACCACCATACTGATTTCCAAATTAAGTTTGCACTCCCACCAGCAGGGGGGGGGGTGAGTGTTTCTTTGCTCAACGTACTCTCCTCCATAAGCTGTCACTTGGGTTTCTGTTCTTAGCCATTCTGACTTGTGTAAGATGATATCTCAGAGTTGTTTTAATTGGAATTTCCCTGATGTCTAAGGATGTCGAGCATTTAAGCCTTTCTTAGCAATTTGAGTTCTTCTGTTGAAAATTTTCTGCTTAGATCTATACCATGTTTATTAATTGTATTATTTAGTTTGTTGATATCTGGTTTCTTGAGTTCTTTATGTATTCTGGATATCAGCCCTCTGTCAGGTGTGGAGTTGGTGAAAATCTTTTCCCATTCTATGGGCTGCCTTTTTATGCTATTAATGGTGTCCTTTGCCTTCATGAAGAAGCTTTTCAGTTTCATGAGATCCCATTGATTAATGGTTGATCCTAGCACCTGCATTCTGTTCACAAGGTGAGGTTTTCTTTGGTGCCAATGTGTTCAAGGCTGTTCCCACTCTCTCTTTTATCAGGTTCAACGTACCTGGTTTTATGTTGAGGCATTTTATTCACTTGGACTGGAATTTTGTGCAAGGTGATAGATATGAATCTATTTGCACTTTTCTACATGCAGACACCCAGTTATACCAGCACCATTTATTAAAGATGCTTTTTTTTCCTCCACTGTATAATTTTGGCTTCTTTGTTGAAAAATTGTGGTTGTGCAGATTTACATCTAGGTCTTCAAGATTCCATTGCTCAACCTGTCAGTTTCTATGCCAATACCATGTGATTTTCATTTGTATTGCTCTGTAGTACAGATTGGAATCACGGATGATGATACCTCCAGAAGTTATTTTACTGTACAGGATTCTTTTAGTTATCCTGCCTTTTTTGTTTTTCCATATGAAGTTAAGTATCCTTCTTTTGAGGTCTGTAAAGAATTGTTTTGGAATTTTAATGGAGATTACATCGAGTTTGATTGCTTTTGGTAAGATGGCCATTTTTACTATGTCAATCCTACATATCCATGAGCATGGGACTGATCTCTAGCTAAAACTTCCAGTAATATATTGAATAGATATGGATATGGTAGCAGCCAGCAGCAATGAGCTGGGATTGTGTGGGCCTGGTGATGGGACCCAGGGAACAGTGACTTTTGGCAACTGTATAGCTTATATATGCTTGGAGAGGGTATGACTGGCAAATCTCTCATCAGCTTCAGGGACATACTGGAGGTACTTTGAGTTGTTTGCTTCCTGAAGCTCACTAGCTTGTAGTTCCCTCTCCCCCTAAACATGTTGTGTCTTAATGGCAGAACTCAAGGCTGGGAGGTTTTAATCTCAGGGAAACTGGTACACAGTCTGATATGCCTTCTAAGGAAGGATGGAGCTAGAGAAGGTCAGACAGCTTTCCTTGGCTGAGGCTGTTTTTGGAGGATCTGACTGCTAGCTTATGCTGCTAACAGCTGGGCAGCAAAGTCTTTCTAGAAGAGTGATTCAGAGATGCATTTCCACATGGAGCACATGTACTTGAACCTGTGTCCTCTGCTGTTTCTACCCACTTCTCATGCTCATCTCATGGCATCGTGGCAGAGCAGTTGTGGTTGGCTGTTCATGTCTGCAGGTCCCATAGCTTTGATACAACTAAGCACAGTTCAAAATGTTTGAGAAAAAAAACAAAACAATTTTTTTTTTAATCCTATTGCGTTCTTTCCATGAGTCTCAAAGATGAAAACTATTCAGAGCAGTTAGTCACACTTACTAACCTCAGGAAGACTTGCATGAAGCCTAAATGATGGTTTTCAGAGGCGTGGCCTATGTCAATCCCTTTTGCCTTCTTGTAGTCCCCAGGTGCTCCCATACTTCATGCATCTGGCTCAGCACTTGATTTTCCTTTATTTGCATTTGTACTCCCACACCTTCTGCTCTTTATTTGTCATCTTTCCACATCTTTAGTGGCTGACGTATTCTCCGTAACTTACAATGCTATATTTTACTTAAACTTTATTTAACAGGGTGTTATTATTTTGATGATGAAACTGAAATGAAAAACTTAAATGAGAATTTGTTATGAATATTTTCAAACATGCATCAATTTTTAAAATGTTTCTGTTTCTGCTGGTAACATTTTATTGCATTATGTTATAGAAATTCGTGTATCATATCTGTCTATTCATCGATCCACGTTGCATCCATCCACTCATCCACAAATCTATCATGTGTCCATCCATTGTCCGTGCATCCATTTATCATCTGTACCCTCTCGTCTGTTCATTGTTCTATCTTTCATCCATCATCCATTTTATTTTTATACATTTGAAAATAAATTCTATGCATACCATTAATAGGTTTATTTATTCTCTTGGAGGAAAATCTACCCAAACTGAAGTACATAAACATTATGATTATCTTTGTTGATTCTTGCAAATATGTAGTCCTGTGGCCTCCAAATCCATGTCAAATCATTAGCTTCTAGGGAGTTAATATCTCATTCTAAACAGCTCCTGTCCTCTCCTCTCTAAATGTAACTCCAGTTCTAATTTTTCCACATAAAGTTTATTCCTTGTTCTAGAATTTCACATATAACAAAAAAAAAAAAAAAAAAAAAAAAAAAAAAAAATCAGAACAGTGTGAATAAGAGTGTTGACAGTTGCTGATTCCAGAATAATCAGAACTGGAGACAGCACATGTCCCTATCAACAGGAGATAACTAGTAATACATTCTTAAAAGAAATATCCTTCAACAACGAAAGGATGGAGTGCTGTTGGAAGCAGCCACATGGACGGTTCTCAGGGGTCCTTTCTGAGATACACCTCGCACTTTGGTAATCACTCACCTTTTCATTTTCATTAGGTCAGTCTAGACTGTTTCTTACAGCAAACGACACAGAGTACTCACTCCCCCAGGCACACTTCAAGAAATGACTGTTGCTTGTGTGTAATGAGAGAGATCTTAATTCGGTTTATGCTAGGTACCTGAGAAATGCCAAGCACTAACATCTACTCAGCCAAACCCATCTGTTGACTCTGATTCTGGTCTGTGGAAGGCTGCCTTCTCCCAGGGCTGAGTCCTTGTTCGTTTGTCTCTTCCAAAGGCATTTAACAGGAGCTGGAAGGTGATATATCTTTACCTGCTTATCGTATTTTGCAGAAAAAGGAACGTGAACTCAAACTCAACAAGTCAACAAATGCTTTTACAACTGGGAAGTTGACTCACCCTCCAAACATCCCAAAGGAACAGCTGCCAGGAGGGAGCGGCGGGAATGCACCCTCAGCCTCCGCGAAACCTTCTGAAGAGAAGACAGCAGAGAGTAAAAAGACGTACAACAGCATCAGCAAAATCGACAAAATGTCCCGGATTGTGTTCCCTGTCCTGTTTGGCACTTTCAACTTGGTTTACTGGGCAACATATTTGAATAGAGAGCCCGTGATCAAAGGGGCCGCCTCTCCAAAGTGAGCTAGGGAAAACTCAAGCTTCCAGGAAACTACACTCCCAGAGAAATGGAACCGAGGAGAGCCCAAGCTCACAGGGACTGGCTGGGCACTGTCTTTCAGGAAATCTTGCATGTTTAATAATATGTACAAATAATATTGCCTTGATGTTTCTACATGTAACTTCAGATGTTTCAAAGATGCCCCCTTAATAAATAAAGCGAACAACCTTCTAGAAAAACAGGAGGCGATGACTGAAACTCAGATGCTCAGTACCCTAACATCAATAGTTTACAAACAAGATAAGTATATTTTTAACTGTTCCAAGTATATGATGCTTTTCTACTTCGAATGCCATTTCATACCGTTTTTCCCAGCTGACAAAGCATTTTAAGGAATATTCCAGTGATGACCACTTGACAGCTGCAAAGAGCAAAGACCATGGGGGAGGGGGGGAGGCGCACACTGACCGTGAAGAGCAAACTGTGGACATTTAAGTCCAGTACTAATTGCCTTTAATACTTCCTGTTCTAAAATTAGTAAAACACTGCATGAACTGACATTAAGAAATAGAATAAGCAAACATTTATGCAGACAAATTTGATGAGAAGCACATAGCGTGTTAGATTAGCAGATCAAATATTTCTCTCAGACCAGGGTGGGGGGTGGGGGGAGCGGGAAAATGAACTGGCTCAAAGTTAACTTTGATATTTTGTGGAAAATGAATTTATTTCTACAACCTTAATAATGACGAAGAAAGAAAAAGAAACATAAAACCTTAAAGCAACAAGGTCTCAGTCCTTCTTGGCCGCAGCACTCTGTGTCCACCATTTCTGGAACGCAGGCCCCTTCTTGTGGCCGTTTCAGTGCTGAGAAATTGTTGAGCTCTCTTCCATTTTACTTCCCTGTACATATTTCATGATTGATTGGATTATCGCTGTTAGCTTTTGTATATGGATCTTAAATGTTCATTAAAAAAAATACTTAAAAGGAACCGATCTTATGGGCATATGTCATTTATGTTTTAAATTCTATGTTTGAGTAACTAACCTCCTGAAAATGACGTAAAATCTTGTACAAACTTTCTTGGAGAAAATGAAACAAAGAATTAAAGCTTAGTGGGTGAGCCCCACTCTTACAACCCAGTTATGGGAGGGAAGGGATAGTAAAGATACCTCTTGACATGGCAAGTGTAGACAGGTATAGCCAGTGCCTCTTCCTACCACAGACCTCTGTGTACGTCCCTCAGCACATTCCTAGTGTTTTCTGCGAGCATGGTGACCTCTGGTCCTCTCCCTACATTCTCCCTTATTCGTGTTGTCTCTACACCCTCCCTCGTGGGCCTGATGATACCTAGTTCTGGCTTTGTTCCCTTCTTCCTAGGTCTGATGACGTCTGGTCCTACCATACAACCTCCATTATGGATCTGGTGACTACTGGTTGTAGTCATGGACCCTCTCTTACAGGCCTGGTGGCTGCTGGTTCTAGCTCTACACCTGCCTTCAGCTGGTCATGAAGAGTCAAAGTAGAGCTATTAGCTCGTATACTCACTGCTCGAATAAATACCGGCAGCTTGGAAGGAATAGGTTCTGTCCTAAATTGGGAACTCCAGAATTGTAACAGAAGAGTTTTAACTCTCAAGAAAATCAAATTGATTACTAGGCCTGTTTATACAATATAGGTGCCATACATGCAAATACCCCAGGTCCCCTTCTATGTATGTCTTCTTGGACATGTGTGTATACATACATACGTGTTCATGTGTGCACATGCTTGTGTGCCAGTGTCTGTGTGTGCTCCTGTGTAGGTCAGATGGTTTCTGTGGTCACTCTTTGCCTTACCTTTAGAGATGAGTGCTGTCACTGAACCTGGAGGTCACCATTTCAGCTAGACTGGCTGACCAGTAAGACCCTGCTATGCGCCTTTCTTCACCTTCCCAGTGCTAGTATTATGGGCACACAAAGTCACACCCTGCTTTTACATGGGTGCCCAAGTTCAAGTGCAGGTCTTTGTGCTTGTGAAGCAAGCCATTGCTGACCCAGCCATCTTACTAGCTAGCTCCTCCTCTGTTCCTTCTACAACTATGCTCAGGGTCTCAGGAAAAAAGGATGACAGAAAGGTCACTTTTAAATGCTATGGAAATGTTTTTCTGGCCACATGATGACATCTGTAGAATGACAGGAAGTCACCAGGAAAACCAACATTAAGGTTCTAAGTGAAGTCTGACTTTCCATTCTAGATTGTTGTACTTCCATTGCTGTTTAGCATCACACTACAGTTGGAAGAAAATAGGGAAGTGATATTCCAGTGTTTACATGTGCTAACACCCATTTTGAACCTCTCGCTCTCTCAACAGAAAATGGCACCTTCTTCATTGAGTTGCAGTAAATATTTTAACATGTGGGCTTTGCACAAAAGTCTTTGCTGAGCTAGTTGGGAGACCTCCCAGTTCGTTAGAGCGGCTGAACCTGTAATCTGATGAATATTTAGCAAAAATAATCACATTTGTTTTCCATTCTCTGATTTTGTATTGCAGACATTTTCAGAGTTTGATATTTTTAATGAGGACATAATAAAAAAAATCACCTTGGGGAAATGATGAAAAGGCAAGCAATAACATTTCTGAAGATAATTATAAATTATATTGCTCTACTTTTAGAGCCAGGATATTTAAATGTGCCTTTTTTTATATCACCACAAATATAAAGAGAGGGTGTTTTCCCTCACATTCCCTCAAACAGCTGTAGGGTGTGGTTGGCAGGCTTTCCTTTCACTTTTGGTGACTATGCCACTGGAATCTGGAGCCCACCCCCAACTCTGAAAGTCAGGTGGACAGGTCCCAGATTTCTCATAGAACAATCATGTCTCTCTTTCTCTTGATGACAGAGTCTAGATAATGATCCCTCCCTCCTCCCAAAGGTTGCATTATTGACCTATTGAGATTCACTGGGACTCTGACTCTTGACCTTGGCTCAATGACCTCCAGTAGTGATAGGAACAGCTCTCTCCACATGGATAACTCATACCCAATATTACTGGTACGGTTCCGCACCAGAAATTGGCCCTGAGGCCTAAAGGATGGAGGGTAGATGCCCTCTTTCCCCTCTGTCCTTCCGGCGTCTCTGTTTTTTCTTCTGTCTATTCCACGCCCCCTCCCCCATCCCATTTTCAGCCATCTAAGCTCCCCCATCACCAAATCTTGGGGAGCCTTTTGACCTTACCAACAGCCCCACCTCCCGCCCCTGGCCCCTGAGCATTAGGGCCACCGACTTGCTGCCGGCCATACTTCTGCTGTTAAGCGGTTAGAAAGGCTACTCCCAGTAACCTTCCATCCCCCACCCTTCGTAAAGCCAAATTCCCACTTTCCATTCTGCCATCCATTTGACCCTAGGCCTGCCCATTCTGCATGGCCCTGTATGGTCCAATCAGCTTCTCTAATTCTGCTTAATAACTCATAACCCAAGCAAACCCATCTTCCCTCTCCTACCACTAGGAACTACAGCTTCCTTAGGTCAGTGTCTGGGCCACCATGACCCTTTCCTCACCCCCCTCCAAGAGTTGTCTGCTAAGTCTCGAAGCTCCCTCAGGTCCTTCTGGGCCTCAGCAACATCCTTCTCCTCTCTCCGCTCTCTCCCGGAAGATGTACAGTTTCTTTACATGCGTATGGCTTACAACGGTTTCTCTTGTCTCTCTCCAGATGTTACAATACACTTCATGGCCCTGTCATCCCCCATCTCACCAGCCCCTTCTCTCTCCTCATTAGCCATTTCCTGTCATAAACTGCCTACAGCTTACGTGAGGAGAGGATCCCCAAATTTCTCATATCTTAACTCTGATCTCTATTCCCAAAAGTCTCTTGTCTCCACTACCCTTTTGTGGAGTTTCCACTTCTCCATCCTCTCCTTGAACTACACCACCTAATTTAAAGTTAAGCCTAAAATCAGGCATACTTAACAGGCACAGGTACTCAAACTCTTCAGAGATCTATTGAATATGGCATTTAAAATATTTAATACAACACTTCCCACAATAGTTAGAGACACCCCCCCCCAAACAAAAAATATTTTAAGGTCTCCAAAGAAAACAGAAGGGACACCATACCACTGATTCAACCTTGACTATGGTAGTGCTATCCACTGGGAAAGACTGCCCCAAGCCTGCCAAGACCCTCCACAAACTATGGACATGCTTGGGCTGACTACTGTACTCTGCTTCATCAGAGTTAGCTTGGTTTTCACAAATCCTTCTCTACAGGAAAACCTCTCAGACCTGGGTCTGGCAGTCAAAGGCCATACTGTTCTGTGTGACAGCTAAAGATTAAACGTTGCTTTTGTATGACAACCTAAGACTGATTGCTTCTGCCTCTAATGAATCATGTGAGCCACAAATAATGGTTTACATAAGTCTCTGTCATTTTAATTAGTGCAAAAGCCACTTAAATTATACTCCTACCCAAACTTATGCTTCTCCAATCTTTGATGATACTGATGGCTGTCTGTAGCTTTAACAACAAACACAGAGCTGCCTGGCCAGTTCATTTCGTATGCACAGTTTACCTTGATGACAGCTTCACATAAAAAGAGATTTGGAGTTCATAAAGGTTATAAAAAATAGACAACTAGATTTACACATCAAGTAAAAATAAATGATATGAGTTATAAAGGTCTGAGGACACAGAATCTTAAATAGGTGGTGCAGGTCTAAGAAAATCATTTTAAGTACATAAAGAGCTAAAATTATTACACTTAAGTAAGCTATGAGGGCCTGAGGAAGTTATTTGAGGTATGCGGATCCAGAAAATAATTCAAGACAAGTCTAACATTCCCTCTCAGTTCCTCAGGCACCTTACTTACATATGCCCTGCTCCAATATACAAACCTTAACCCTACCCCTCCAGACTTCTCTTTAAGTCGCTCTTTTCAAGGTTTTCCTTTTTTGACTCCTTTCTCCTCATTCCTTCAGGCCCTATTCCTTTACTAGAAAAGAGTGTTCCCTCCAAAACTGGCAGTTTGCCTTCTACCCTGGCAACAGCTGCCAAAGACACCTCTATGTCATTCTTCTTCCTTTCCTCAGCCTCGGTTTGTTCACGTTACAGACCATCCCTCTCACCGTTTTCCAAGAGCATCCCCGGTAATTCATGTCCCTAAAATAACTCAATTTTACAACATACCTGGACATTGAAGGAAGGACAATTTTGATGTAATGGGAGCCTCTCAAATTATATTCTCCTCAACACAACCAGACCCTGCTTTCAGGTAACAGTTGTTCCCCAATTAAGTCTAATTTTTCCTGGCTCTTCTAAAGAACTCTCAAACAGACCCCAGGTAAGTACTCCTGCTAATCAACAGCCTGATTTCTCTGCCTAGTGCCCACTCTCAAGGGTGGGCTCTCTCCTCCTTTCTCTGGTCTTGGGACTCCTAACTCCTAAGACCACGGGCCTAAAAGTTTCAA